TAAGAAATAAGAAATAGACAGGAAAAAGACAATGTAGAGAGTTAAGTGGGGTATGCAGTTCTGAATAGGACATTATAGTTATTATAATTATATTATATTATTATTATTATTATTATACTATATTATTATTATTATCCCTAAAATGATCTCTTGTTGGGGACAGTTAGGCAGAGGTAGGATCATGTAAAGTGAAAGTAAGACAAGGGAGAGGAGGGTTATGCTTTATGGGATTATGAATACAATGCAACAGGGAGGGGTGGTTGGTGGGGCTGCATCAATAGGATTAAACTGTTATTATAAGTATTTATGACAGCTTGAGTTGGAGCTATAGTTAGACTGGAACCAGTCTGGAGTTATCAGCTCTTACAACACACCAAACAGAAAACTAAACCAAACCCAGACTCATATTTAGAGATTGTCTATTAATGTTCTTTTACTACACCAGCATTGATCACATATCCGGTGATGTCTTTAAATGGGGAGATTGATTTGAGAGATTCGCTCACATTGACATGATGAGCAAACTTGTTCGGCCCTCTAGTGGCAGAGATGTTACAGCTAAACATTCATATTCAAGGCCCTGAGCGAAGGATTCTTGGGACTTTGGAGAACACAACATTTATTTATTGAACCAAATTAAGGACAAATAAGCATGACTGGTTCTATATTTTTATACAAAGAGAGATTACTCAAGATGTTTGAAGTTAACAAGAAGAGAGAGAACAAGAAATAATGAATAATGAACACACACATAGAATCTGGGATGTTGTATTAATTTGAGTATTGTTTATTGGTATATTGAATTGATGCAGACTAGCAGTATTGATAATTGCATGATGCAGAGGGTACATGTACACTGATGATAACTGTGGGTTATACAGATTAAAATAACATTTAGGTGTTGCTGCTGCACTCTATCCAATCTACGTTATCACAATACCTTGAACTTAATGTGACTTAACTGTACGTTTGGTTGTGCCACTAATCAGCTTAAAACATCTACCCCATAATATTTCAGAAAGGAAGGAATGTACCATATATACACAGAGGCAATACATAGTTACACAAAGTAATTTGACATTTTCTACAAATTTAAACATATATTTCACATAAACTAGTAAATCATTTTAAATATTATAAATAATTTCCTATCAGGTAAAGAGCAGTTTTCCAGTTCTGAATATCAGTCTGCTTCCTACAGCCCAAATTTCTTCATGAATATAAAGTACAACCATTAAAAATTAACAATGTAAGGAAGCACAAATAAGATTGTCTGTGTAAAAACTTCAAGAGGTATGTCATCTTGGTTGAATTATTATTATTAACAAAAGTGGAAATCATATCTTTCAATTGATGTTGACATTGAGGCTGCTACTGAAGGGTAACTATTCTCTCTCTGAAGTGTGTGAAAGCAGCTTCAAGAGGTAAGTGACTGAGTACCTCTCAGCATTTGAAAAGGTAGTCTTCATTCTTCAGATAGCTACAGTCATTTGTCATTCAACAGCCATTTATTGAATTATACCAATTGATAGCACAGCCATCTCTCATAAAATCCAATATTTAAAAAAGCTTACCCTGATAAAACGGCTAACGATGTTGAATAATAGTGTGTGCTAACTGTCAGAAATCATTAATGTCATGTTGTACAATATAATAAAAGCCAAATACCGAAGAGCCGCTTTTATCTAAAAACAATGTATTTATCTCAAAAAAGGCTGTTCACATCAACTGGATGTGACAATACTGGATGAGTCACTTCATCGGTGCCCACTGGCACTTTTCAGAGCACAGAGGCCATTTTGATTCTCACTATTGTCAACAGTGACAATGGTGACTTTGTATGCAGATGACATTTTATGTGATCAGCATGGTTTCTGTTAATTTGGGAGGAAATCACAGGTTAACAGGGTAAAGGAATAGACAAAGTAAAACATAATTAAAATGGCTGCTTAAATGGAAATAAAGGTATTAAGTATACGTGGAAATAGTTTGCTATAATTATATTTATCTTCCCTTTCATAAATATTTTAGCATTTAATTGGTCTGTTGCTAATTTTTACATGCATTAACTGTTAGGTTAAAAGTTTTGAGTGTAAACTGCTGTCCAAATATAATTGATTTATATGTGGGCTTTATTTTTCAAAAGAAATGTCTTCCTTTTCCTTCATGAATTCTGGTTTTTAAAATCCTAAAAGTACATTTATCATTTATTATTTACAAGCCAAAAAAGTGATTTTCTCAGCTTCAGCAAAACTGGTAGTTTGAGGGTACAATGTTTGCATCTGATACATGAATAAATACATACTTCAAGGCAACAAGATGAGCATATACATTCATCCTGCCATGTTTTTAGATGCCACTTTCAGTCTGCCACTTTGCCCGTATGTTCCGCTCCACTCGCCCACTCTTGACCACCCTGCTGCTCCTTTCCTCCACCTGTCTCCTTATGGGGCTGCAGCTGCTGCATGAACTCATCCAGGATCTGCTGAGCTGACATGGACGTCACATCCACAAACTCCTGCTCCAAAAGAGTTACCTTTACCCCTCCCTTCCCACCCCAGCTATCACCACCCACATGGGCCTGCTGGAGGTTTGGAGGAGTGTCAGTGTGGTTAGTGCCCAGGAGAGGCTGCTGTTGGCTTTGGGGATAGAGAGGTTGTGGTCTGGCAGAATAACTGGCAGCCATTTTCTTATAGATAGCAGTGCTGATGTCAGCTACAGAGAAAGGTGGGCTTTGGCTGGACTCATGCTGGCTTGAGGGACTGGCTTCAATTCCTGCTGTCGGCCCTCCCTGTTTAAATGGTAGGAAGGCTGTGACCCTCTGTGTGCCTGCGTCTGATTTTGCCAACCAATCATGTGCTTTTTGCTCCATTTTAGGAGCATGGGATTGGGCGTCTGCTTGTGGAGAGGCGGCAGAATGGCTGATTGGAGCAGGAGTCATCAGAAACTTCTGTATGGCCTCAGTTGAATCAAAGTGCTTCTCTAATAACTCCTTTATCAAGCACGGCACCTGAGGTTTAGACACCAAACACAAACATTAGCTCTGAATTCAACATAAAAAGGAGAAGAGACATACAGTACTTCTGCCCTGAAGTGCTCAGGGTTATTCTGCATCTTTTTAGCAACATTTTGCAGGTTAATCATTAGTGATGTGCTGCTGTTGGTTGAAAACTGCCAGTGGTGGCCGATTCAGTAAATTTACTGTTTTTGAGGTATTTGTATTTTACTATGTCAATTTCATGATACTTTATACTTCCACTTTATTTCATTTTAGAGGTAAATATTGTACTTTTTCCTCCACTACTTCTTTCCTTCTTTGTAAACACATGATAATCTTGTAAAAGATTTAACCTGGGGTTTAAACCTTTCTGACTTGTGACTGAGCAGTGTCTGGTTGTGACTCCTTGTCACAGCTGTCAGTATAAGTTGCTACCAGTTCTACTAAAGAGACACTTGCCCTCTAAACTAAACTAACATTCTTTCATTTATCAAATATTTCACAAAAAAAGAGCAATGGTGGGTTTCATTAAAAGATTAGAGAAAACTGAAAACTAATTTTTGTAGCAGAACCATACTTTATCTTTTTTCCTCTCATTCCGATCATCACAGGAGCCTTTAGATTTATCTTGTGACCCCTCCGAGGGCCCTGGCCCCCAGGCTAAAAATGTAATAATTTATTAGTCATGGGAGACATTTTACTGCAGAACAAGTACTTTCGTTCTGTTTTTACTTATTAAAGCCTAGGCTTGTGCCCAGTAGGTCCATTTAAAATTATTCACGCATTCACATACATTAGTCAAGGGTTCTGACGCACAAAAATCGACAACTACCTCATCATGTTAACTTGAGTGTGAAAAGCTCAAAATAAGATAAGAGGAGGAGCAACTTTAAACACGTGCAATTGCACACATACTGGTGTATGAATGTTTTTGTGAAAACAGGGTGATATGGTTTCATAATAATAAATTGCAAATGTTCAAATGACCTACCTAACCAGTGATTAATGAAGACTGCTCCATTCCAATAATGGATTATTTAGTAAAATGTTTGCTATCTGTTAGAAACTACTGTATGTGAAAGTGTGCATGAATGTCCAGTAGATGGCACTGTGCTCACATTAATGTTCTCCAGGGCTGCCATGGTCCTGTGAGCGTCCTCCAACTCTGAGCTCAGCTGGGACACACGGTTCAGTAGGTACTTCCTCTCACTGCTCAGGCTCTCTGACTAAACACACACACACACACACACACACACACACACACACACAGTAGAGTAACATTTACATGAAAGTAGTTTATGGTTTGTCAGTACAGTGAGACAAGCTCCCCCCCTTTGTCATTGTGCCTGTGGCTTCCCCAATCTTATCTCTGTGCAAGTTTACTCACTGCTATATGGAGGTGTTCCCCCAGCAGGTTATTGGCCTGCTTGGTCCCAGTGTGGGTCTCTAGAAGGCTACAAGAGACAGAGAACCATAGAAGAAAGAACAACGTCAATGCATTATTTCACCACTCTACCACCACGTCATTATCTATAAAGACAGTTGTTTCGCAGGCCAAGTGGCAGCCACAAACTCTTCTAATAAGTATGTAACAACTGACACCAAACTGGAGAGCAATGTGAGGTGACCAGTCACTCCAGTTGCTCCAGTCTGTTGAATAAAGTGTGGTATGTGCCTGGTGGGCTGCAGCTGTTGTTTGGTGATAAATACAGGCTTGTCAGGGTTCAGGTCACAACAGGACTGGTGAGTGTGACAGGACAGGACAGATGCCTCTGTTGGCCAGGGGAAATGGGTCGCTGCAGAACCAAAACACCCATAGAAATGAACAGGGGCTTTACCCAATGTGTTCCATGGATCAATTAATCTATAGAAACTGCTGTATGTAAAGCCATAGGTTGAGTTGATGAATTGTTATTGATTACAATTGGCTCAATATGTGCATGCACATCACACCATTGTGTGTTGCATGTTGTCCTTTATGTACTGCATCATCATACTGTGTGTGGAAAAGGTGTTTCCCTTCTTCAGTGTTTATGTGTGTGTACAAGTGCATAATGTATAACCATTATTCATGTGCAATCGTTTTAAGATCCCAAACCTTTTATATTTCTCCTTGACATGGCTGAGCTCGTCCCTGGTCCTCTGCAACTCCGCCTCCAGGCTCTCGATGCAAACCACCGTCTGCAATAAGTTCTGGTGAAGATCGTCATTCTCTTCCTGCAGTGCCCTGAACACAGGGGAATGATGGGAGATGGAGTTTTGTCACAGAATGTATTTATCCTACAGATTATTTATGTATGTATTTATATATTGAAGTGAAGTGTTGCCTTCGTGGACCCAGACCAATACCAATACCTGTGCATAAGGCATATATATAGTCAAAGTTCATAGTCATTTGGCAGTAATGATCTAAAAAAACATTCAACATGAGATGTTCTCTCATATGCTTCCATTTTGTGAATCTGTTCTTTATGCATGGTCATACTTTTTATTTGATTTGGAACTAGAAAAATCCATTCTTGGTGCCACATATAATGTCACATTGCTATCAAACTTCATTACTACACATAAGGCTTTAAATGATATACATACCTCATGAAAAAGGGCTGAGTCATAAACAAACACTACAAAGATGGCTGCTACATAGGTGATATACCAGTTAGCATGAGTTTAGCTAAAGAGCTAACAGAGGTCTGGCAATCAGTATTTTAGCATGTATGTTTTTTAAAACAAAGTAATCAAGACTCATAAAGATCTAATTACCTGTGCCCATTTTACAGCTGCATCAGCTAAAAACAACAACATTATATTAGAGGAATAGTCTGAAAAGACTGCATCAATGGATATGTGCATTATGTATTACATATAGTATATATGTAATACATAATGTATATATATATTTTGTCCTAACTTGCTTTAGTTTCTCTGTCTTTGACGACAGAGAGATGGTTATATAAATGAGTTTCATAACTACAGCACTTCCTGTTAAAACAGGAGTGGAGGCAGAGAGGATGCTCATTAGTGTGATCGATAACCACTGACCCATCACAGGACAGACAGAGAGAGAAATGTATGAAGAGCTGTAAACGAATGAAGTGAAGTGAGCAGAGAGAAAGAACATTGCACACTTACTGGAGGTGGTCTGCATCGCTCAGTGTGTCCTAGAAAGAGAATGAAAGAAGGATAAGAGAAAAGGAGATATTTAAAATACGACACTAGCATAGTTGCCTTTGATACAGTGCCATCCATAAGTATTTGGACAGCCTTGTTTTGGCACTGTTCTCTGGCACATTGAATTTTTTTGTACGTAGGCGATAAGTTCTTCACTGGTCACCCAATATGAATGTGAACACTCCCCGAGCACCCTGTCTGAACGTCAGAACTTCAACCTCATAGTCATTGTTTTATTTGAATTCCAGTGTGCTGAGTAGAGCCAAAACACATCACTGTCCACATTCAACATGCACTGCAGATATTCACTGAAAGCATGTGAACTGGAACTTTCCAACAAAGCCATTTAAATGTTGCTGATTCAAGTCTGTAAATCTGCAGGGAGCTATAACCACCGTTAGTAGTTCAGGACTGATTCCAGGTTTGGTGCTATAGGTAAAAAGTAGACATATAAAGAGCCATAAATAGCAAGAATAAGGACATCGCACTCATCCTTCCATTCATCCTAACTTAATAACAATATCTTAGTGTATTCACCTCACTCCGTTCATTCTGTTAATGCTGTTCATACAGTATAAATCCTGCTAGTATATTCATATATATAGCTATAATGTTATTTTGTATTTATATATTCCTGTATATATGCACATTACTCTGGACTTTACTGCTATTCAGAGTTATAGGTGCTGGAGCTTGAGCCAGCGTGCATTGTATAAAAGGCAGAATACAGGATGGGTCACCAGTCCATTACTGAGGACATGACTGATTGAATACATTATTGAGTTATGAAAGACCTGCGCCTGTAAATGGATTAATTGATTAGTTCTGTGAAGCTAAACCGTAACCCCTTTGCGTGTGTGTGTGTGTGTGTGTGAATTTAAGACTCAGTAAGACCAAATCCTACGCAGTGACCACATGGAAAAAGGCAATGTTATCTAATATTGTGTTTATCAGTACATGAGAGTGTAAGCCTGAGCAGATTCTTACATAAGAGCAATGTGACACTTGCTCTTATCCAACCAGCTCACTCTCACATTTTCCTTGGTGCTGGCTGCTACTGTGAGCTGGTGTGAGAGATCTGTCTCAGTGCATGTGTGTGATGTTAATTGTGACTTTCTCTGTCTACATAGTCGATTCATAGCACACGGTAGCACAGGGCTGCTCTTTAAAAACAATTATACTATTTAAACAGATAAATTAGGTAGTTCCAAAGGGAGTTTCCTTTAAAAGCGCAGGACTATCATCTGCTGCATTGCTGAAGAATGACTCAGCTTGCAATGCGTAGTGTTCGACACATCCCACACAGCCTGTGACTCAGCTACACTGCATCTGCAGAAGAGGAGCAACACTCATTCATTGTGTGCATCCTGTTCTTTCTATCTTCCCATCAGTGCAGTGCTATGCTTTATTTTTCAGGAATCTGACTCACTATACGACCCAAATAGATAATACACAGAATATAGACATTATGGTGGCATAAATTCTCACAAATGGCCCATTTGAAGGCCAGTTGTGGTTTAATGCTAAGGTTTCTCTGTCTCTTTGTTCAAATTCATAGATTTTATAAGAACAGTTAACACATATTATATGAATTAATATAAATAAATGATATTGGCTAAGTAAGATATATTACTTAGGGATGACTCATAACTTATTTGTCACTTATTAAAGGAATCCAACTGTACACATGTAACATGCTTCAAAGGTTTTCAACCATGATGTTATCAATGAAAATATGTTTTCATCCATGTTTCCTGTTTATTATTCTAAACAGAAATAATGTCTATGTGCTCTTGATATTTTACTCTCAGCTCAGTATCTGAGGCCTGAAATCTCCCTTCACTCCCATCTTATATTATTGTACTCTGTTAAAGAAAGAAAAATCCTATTAAAGTAAACTCACCCTGCGTTGTCTAGAGTGCCCCACAGGCAGTGAATGGTGTCGGACACTCTGCTCCGAGCTGTGACTGGTAGGTGTGGAGGCTGTGTCCCTGGCCCTGGATGAATCTGATTTTGTGGATGAAGATTCAGATCCGAGGCCCGGCCCCGCAGGAGGGCCAGGGTGGACCTGTTGGGGCTGGTGCTGAGGGAAGTGCTGGGTATGTTCAGGGTAGGAGGCAGCGGTGGGCTGCTGTTTGCGGTGGTGGCGTTTGGGCTGGCTGGGTTCAGGGCTGGTGCTGGTGCCATCTGTGAGGTGAGAGCCACATCTACCGTATCTGTCCCCTGACACGGAGCCCCCTGTGGGCGAGGGCATCCTGTCTTTACGGCTGCTTCCATGGTGAGTACTGTGGCTGGGAGAGTTGGGGTAGTGATGAGGTGGGGGGCTACCGTGGTGGTTCTTAGCCGCATATGAGATCAGTTTGTCAGGGTTGGAGCAGTTGGAGTGTTTCCGAGAGCTGCTGCGAGCTGCTTTCTCCTGTCTGCTGTGCTGTTTCGGATGCTGCTCCCTCTCCTGCCCTGAGCTCTCTCTGTGCTTCTTGGGTGGGAGCTGAGGCTTGACCGGGCCAGGTGTTTGTGCTGGGGCAGGTGTTTGCGCTGGGGCGGGTGTCTTTCCAGTAGTTTTATTACTGTTCACACCCAAGATGTTGAGTTGTGACGGACTTATAACCTGTTTTGTAATCTCATCTAGAAAGGCTGAGAATTGCATTTTTCCCTGCACAAAATTTGCCCTGGCTTGCTCTACCTCGACTTGAGTTACCCCTTTCCCCTTCTGTCCACTGGGATCTTGTCCGTTGGAAATTCTTGGGGACAGCACCTCCATTGACTTAGCCTTGCGAATGTCAGTAAGAGGCGCCTTGTTTTTAAGGATGCCTTTGCTGGGTAGCTGGCTAGAGGACACTGCTCTCTTGGGACCCCTGGAGACCCCTAACAGAATGTCCTCCTCACTGAAAGCCAGGCTTCGGTTCAAACTAGCTGTCTTATACAGAGGTCCATAGTTCATATGAGGTACCCTGGATTGTCCCTGTCCAACATCCCTCTCATTACCCTGCAGGAGGCCTAGGTCACTGATGCTGTGACCTCGGTCAAGAGAAGAAAAACCACGCTTTTTCCTCTTTTGTGTATTCCCCTGTAACTCACTACAAATACTGCCGCTCTTGCCATGTTTGATGGTGGCATAGACGAGGGGCTCGCTGCTGTCGTCCTCTCTGAAACCTCTGCGCACGTCTGCGATGTTGGAGCAGGACAGGGAATGCTGCGGCTGCTCGGCATGACGAAGAGAGAAGGGGTCATTTGCACTCGTCTCTGTGTACCAGGAAGAAAAAGAGGAGGAAGAGGAGGAAGAGAGAGAGGAGGAAGAGGCCCTGGAGAGAGTTACCGATGTTTCGTGGTCGTAAAGTATCTCGTCTTCCTCACTGTGGTGAAATTGCTGTGTTTGATGACGCTGGTGGGCATCATGATGGGGGTTGTCATGGAGATAGTGACCGTGTTGATGGTGACGGTGGTGCCCATGGCTTTCGTCTGTATTTCTGTCTGTGTCATCAAACATTGCGTACCTATAACACAAGGACAAAGGAATACGATCAACTCTAATGATGCACCCATTAGTATTGTATTGTGTGATGTAAAACATATTATAACTCTGAATCTGTTTTAATTTCAAAATAAAAGATGTAGCTTTTGCTATGTTAAGGCAAATCTCAGGATGAATGTGACTTTTATTCCTTAATACCTCTTCTATTAGACATGAAAATAAATCTAGCATGCTGCAATGACCCATCCTACCTGTGTGACTGAGGTTCTTGGTGATGATGATGGTGCTGTCTCCGCGGCTTGGTCTCGTCCGGGCCACAGGGGCTGTGAACGGGCTTAAAGAACTTCTCCATTACCTGTCTCTTCCCCGGTAGAAGGCTGTGGATGCCGTCCTGGTTGGGTGGACTAAGGGGCAGTGATGGTGATCTGTGTTGGTGAGCCGTGGTTTCCTCTGCTCTGCAGCTCTATTTATTTTTTCCCCTGACAATCTTTTTCTCTATGAGTGAACAACTTGTCTGTTGAAGTCAGCTGCAGAGATCATTACTTAAGACCAGACCTACTGCTGATTCTCACCTCAAAAATAGGTACAGCATGTGGCGAGGTATTCTGAAAAATAAATTATATTCTAAACTAGCAAATGAGAAGTTCAGTCTTCAAAAAGTTTGCTTCCAATAGTCTCTAGAGAAAATAAAAGCTGCTGTATCCAGCTGTTGGATAGTTTCTACCTATGAATAAGTTTGTCTGTCTCAGCTGCTGGCAGCAGAATAATGGAGTCACAGCTCCTGAGCAGGAATGTATAAATTCCTGGATGGTGGCGGCTTGATTTTGCATCACGCCTGATGTAACAGCTGGGTGCTCATTGAACCAGCTGAAAGAGCAAGACCTTTGTCCTCATACAGGAGACAATCGAATCAAGCCCAGTGGGACAGGATCTATAATAGGGTTATTTAACCTGGGGCTGGGCGATATGTTCACATTTTCCAGTCGTACTGTTACCACAACAACCAGCGACTGCTGAAGTATTGGTACAAATGTGCCTCATTTTCCAGGTTTGTGGTGGGGTGATATATTTAAAATTTCTGATACAGCTTCATCTATAATTCTAAAAACTCCCTGAGTCACTCAATGCAAATTGAGAACAACTCCTTCATAATGACTTCAGCAAGTATCACACAAGGTCTTTAAGAGCCTGATAGCGTGAAAGGCCTTGGTGTGGCATTGTTATCACAGGAAAGAAGATGCCTCTTTTTCAAATGTGTGTGTTGCACTGACTATATCCTATCTAACAACCATGAAAAAGATCAATTCACTGAGGTTGGGAGGGGCTGAAACTCATCCAGAGGACAACTACCCCCACACCCGCTTGTTGTTGATCAATGGCATAGAGCTATCATGAGAATAGTTACATAAGAGATGTTGCCCAGACATGTCCAGGATACTGTAATCAATGTTGAATACCAGTTCAGCACATGAAAACACAAGGCAGGGAAAGGGAGATTTCATGTATTGGGAGCACAGACGTGACAAATGGCATGTCTTTTTTATCCCTGCCCCATCTGCTGGTGAACAGAAGTAACTCACATTATGGCCTTCACTACTAGTAATTTTCCACCCTGTGACAGCAGCACTCTTTTGGGCACTGGATGTTTCTGGATATTTCTAGTTTTATCACGTACACTACAGAAAAAAGCACTGCAATGGCGTATCACTTAGGTTCTTGTTGAATTAGACATTAAAGCTTAGACTACTATAAAGGACTTTTTGAAAACGGGGTCTACAACTACACAGTACAACCATGATACATGACACCAAGGTACATTTGATGGAAAAGTATTGAGCACACCAGCAGCTTTTATGTCAACTACTAAGCAATCTACCAAACAGGGAAAAAAACAACTTATTGAACATAGGCCATCGAAGTTAAGGGAGATGAGTTGGCTGTTTTTTCTATTGTTCGTCAATCACAAACAGCATATCATTGCGGTAAAGGGGAAGTAGATCCGCCAATTCAACTATATTCTGGTTTGATCCGGTTTGTCGGACCGCGTAACACACAAGTAGAGATTAATCCGCGCAGCCGTTCGTGTGACGTCAGCTGTTTTGACTGATTTTTTTTCATGATGAAGTTTTTGATGAAAATGTGTCTTTATATAGTAACTTACGACACGGTTTTTGTGATCTATATGTTAAGAAACTGTCAATTTAACTGACAGTAATAACACAATCACACCTTGTTCGCTCATTGTCTTGCGGAGTCCGTTTAAATAGAAGCACCCCCTCGTGAATCAGTATTGTGTAAAAGAGTGCCCTATAAATAATTTATTCCCCCGCATTGATTAATTTCATTGACTTTCGGTTTCGAACTCGAGTCTAAAGCCACAGTCAACATTTTAAAACTTTTTTTTCATGTGAAAGCAATGTGTGAAACTGGGTCTACTTCTTTTATCGGAGGAATACCTCCCCTTGCTGCAGTCGAAGCACCCAAACAGTATAAATACCACAAGCGACGCCATTTCAACTCACACTGCATTGATACGAATTCGTCGTGGTTTGAGGCGGCGCAGGTTAAATCGTTCTTATTTTTATTTCTTTTAAAGCTTCGAGATTTGTTAGTTATTGGTGAAGATGTGTAGCTGCTCGCTACGTAGCTTGTTTTTTTGTGAATTGTTCTTATTTAGCATATTTTGATCAGTCAAAGATCACTAGGCCTTACCTGGAAGGCAAATAGCTTAAATACCAAGATATCTGCAGTGTTTTTCAGCACAACTTTTTGTTATCAGACTTTTTGTTCAGTTATTAAGTTTCATCGGGCAAATGTCAGTGAAAATTAGCCTTGATTTAAAGCCAAAGCTTCGTTATTTTTGTCGACACTAGTTAGCTATCGAGCTAAAGGGAGGCTAAGCGAGTCTATTTATCATGGTGATATTAATGTCAGCGTTGTCTGAACGTTATATTGTTTTAACGATCGTCTTGTTAAACAGTTTAAATGAGTTAAAGTGTCCGTTGGTTCACGTCATGTCTCTTTTAAAGGCTCGAATCCAGAATGTTTTTCATGTTCGAGACGGCGGTTGGCCCAAGATGGGAGCCGTGACGTAGCAGCCTGCAAATGTTGGCTATTGGTTGGTTTGAAAAACAAATCGTGACGTACTCGCCGACGGAAAGGGGCGCGGTCAGGATTTCACGAGCCGTGAGGCCATAAATGTCCAGAGAGCAGCGCCGTCCACCGCAAGTATCTTATTCTGTTAGCCTTCAGTCACTCAGGCCAGTTCAATAACAAGATAGCCTTTAATGATTTACTATTTTAAGCATCACGATTACTTTGAAACGGAAGTCTTAAAGTGAGACAGGTTTAATAAGGGTCTTATTAATGGTGGTAATGATATAGATCAGACTAAAGGTCAGATACGAACTGAAGCAGACTTTGTAGTCGATATGTGAAGATTGACAGTTCAACATGAGAAATGTGCTAGTTGTGGCATCTTATGTCAGTTAATTACTGAGGAATGAAGCACTAAACTGAAAACAAAGGGAGTTAAAGTAGGACATTGATAATCGAGAATCGAGTCTGTTAAACCAGCGTGAATTAAAAAAAAAAAAAAAAAAAAAATTTAACACAAAGGACAAGCTAGGCTTTGTGTTTAGTAAAACCAAAAGAGAGAGAAGCCAAGACCAATCAGCTTTTGAAGTATATTAAAATATGGTGGATGAGGTCATGTCTTTATTTGGGCAAGCGTCTTGTAATTGCAATTAAGCAACATTTTTATTTTTTTTGTGAGTTAAACTTGAGTGGTTCAGTCACTACGTGTTTTTCTTACAATATTTTGAGTTTCAAATATTTCCTTTAAACCAAAGAAAGGGAAAAGCTGCAGTTTTTAAAAGATGGAAGGAGTGCTACAAGTTTATTTCAGATCGCGCGTAGATTTATGCTCAAGTTAATTCTACATGGATTTTTTTTTTTTTTTCCATTTCAACTTTTTTTTGTATTGCCTTAGAGAGACAGAAGATTTTTTATTTTTTTCCGGGGATAATGGACTGAGTATCGAGGGGAGGAAATGACTTTAGTTATTGTGAGGAAGAATGACTTAGTTATTAGAGGAAGATCAGCCAGGACCAGCGCGGAGCGAGGCGCACGGGACACGGGCAGGACCAGAGTGGAGCCAGGCAGGACCAGAGTGGAGCCAGGCAGAACAGGACCGCAGGGCATGGAGGGAAAAGCAGAGGGGGCCCGAGAGAGCAGGCAGCAGCAGTCGGCGGGTGTACACCAGAGGGAGCCAAAGGGCAGGGTAGCAGCACAGAGTGGCCGTCCTTGAAGCAGTTCCAGAGCAAGCCAGCCAGTGATGAGAGGGTGGGGAAATGGCGTCCAGGTGTCTTCTAGCATCACGAGTTTAAAGCCGGGTGGTGGTTTGTATATTGGGTAGAGGTATCTCTGTACCACACTCAGGTATTTAGATCTTAAACCACTTTCTAGACACAACTGTTGTAGAACACAATTTCTCGCACAGTTCTCTCTTCCTCTTTTCAGGCAAGCCGTGTAAAGCGTTTTGTACCGTGGTCACCCCTCCTGTTGTGCGCTGACATGAGTTTGGTGGTGTCTGCTGTGGTGAATGCCTTGGTAGTGTGCTGGCGAGAGGAACATCTTGTTGGACTTCTCGACCCCCCCCTGCGATCAGAAGTAGTTCCTCCCACAGCCGGCGGGAGAGGCAGTCCTTTGTTGTTCGATAGGTCTTCCCCCCCAAAAGAAGTTTCCCTCAATGGAGTGTGAGAGTGGATGGTCTCCTGTGCGGCCGATTGATGTGTGTGTATACAGCAACCCTTGGTGCTACAGCTGCGCCTCACTGGTACAGATCCGCTACATCTACCTCTTAACCCGAGCAGTGAGTTAATGCATGAAATGTACATGTGGGTGTAACTATCCTGTACATTAACTCATCGTTGCCTATGCTGTATAGTATGCAGTAATCTTGCAATGAAAAGAAAATTGTTACCTATTAGTTAATCCTGGCTAGTAAAACATTTTTGGTTTAAGGGGAAAGGAGGAGGGGGGGAGGGGGTTTTTAAAACGTGTTTCGAGTTCTTCTTTTCACAGGCCCGGCCCCCTAAAGCTGATCATCGAAAGAACCCCCCCTGCGCTAGCTGCTCGATACAAGTTGAGCTCATCTAATTTACTATAGTTCTGTGGATCGGGATCATTCGCATCCACTGCGGTTTAAACAGATGTAGGAAGGTATTTGGTATTATTCATAGATTATTTATTCATTCTATTTTAAATGGGGGTTCCATGCACATCTTGTGGGTGATGGGTGGGGGGGTTGTGGGGCGTTAATCAGTCTCTTCCTAGACTTTACAGCTCCATGTTACCAACGCAAAATGGCTTGAATAGGCAGCATCCAGGTGCTCCGACAAGATTCAAGTGGACTCTTTCCCCCCGCAGGATAGCAACTTCAAAACTAGTCTTCCCGTTTTGCCCAGGGATTGTGGTAACAAGTCTCCTTACTCGAAGTCATTGTAATTCTGTACAGGCTTCAAGTTGCTCTGTGGGGTTGGGATGGGGCTGTGTAT